TGTATGTATTTATGTATGTATGTATTTATGTATGTATGTATTTATGTTTGTATGTATGTATGTAGTTATGTATGTATGTATGTGTTTATGTATGTATGTATGTGTGTGTATGTATGTGTGTATGTATGTATGTATGTATGTGTGTTTGTATGTATGTATGTATGTATGTATGCATGTATGTATGTATGTATGTGTATGTGTATGTATGTATACATTGAGAGAGAGAGAGTTATATGACTGCATTTGGTTACCGGCTGCATAGTTGGAACATGCAGAAACCTAGGGTGTCTCACTATGCAAGCCAGGTCAAACGAGAAAAGTGCAGTTGAAGTAGTTTCTATAGCCAGTCTAATGAATTTTCTAAATAGCCGAAGAGTCCGCACAGTGGCTGTAGCCTCCGCTTCAAGTTCCCGATGGAATGTCTCAGGTCATGATGATCTGTTCCACAATTGCTCTCCTTGCATCAACTCAAAACAAGGGCTGCAAGAAACAATATTTGTTTTAACATGGTTTAACATCTTTCACGGCAGCTGGCGTTCTGACTGTGCCCAAGCTAGGTGCGTAACTCTTTTCTCCGTCATCTAGTTTATGTTCCAGTCAGGTACACCGAGAGGCGGCATATTGAACTCTATAGAATTGGGGATTGTGAGACAGAGAATCATAGCTCTAAAGAATTCGGTTGGGGACATGGAAAATAAGTAGACATTTCAAATACAAACGCTATGGAATCGCAGGGCACAAGGTATTTTCGAACAGTTTTGTTCAATTATTGGATAGTAGGGCCTCTGTAGAATACAGGCTTTGGGTTGCAAAATCTGACTACGTTGGAAACAGGACCTCTGGCAACCTATTCCTGCATGAAAGCTACCACTATTCTATAGTATTTCAATGTATTTCAACATGATCATTGGCCAAAGTCACCTTCACATATTTTATAGAACACCTATATTCAGCGACCATCTGCAAACAAAAATCTATAGAATTGAGACCCTTGACATGTAAAAGTCCATCATGGTTGCAATATAAAAACCAGATTTCTTTTGCTTGCCAAGACATGTGTTCATGCACAAAAATCCTCTATAGAATTGAGGCTCGTAATTTCCTGCGTTCTCTATAAAATCAGACTCTGACATGCCACCTCCAACATGGGCAGATCAGTCTTTATGAAAAAACTGTTTGCTTTGTGATGGTATCATCGATTTTGTAGTGGAAATTTGCAGGGGGATTTCTAGTCTATATTGCACTTCTAAACTCGACAGTGATCAGCAAACGAAGTCTGACACCTGGATTTTCCGCAAACCTGAAAGGTCGTAGCGCAACTACCGGTACTCAAGGGCCCTCGTGAGATGAATGGCCATCGAAAATGCAAACATCAAGCACGTTTCATGCGAAAGTGTAAGCTGAAGTCAGACCGGTGGAGCATCTAAATGAAAAATCGTAAAAGGGTGTGCTCAACGATCTAACCAGCGAAAAACATTCAAAAGGTCGGCCCTCTAGCTTCGAAGTGCATCTTCGTAAACACTCACAAAGCTATATGCTCCTTCAACACCTCGCCCTAGCAGACTCATTCGGTTCGTCTCGTGATCGTAGTGAATCTGTGTCTGCTGCATGCGATCTTGAATCTCACCTCTTCGAAAGCGTTCTTTCTCTTCAGAGTGAGGATCACCAGGGCTGTGAACTCGTGTCACGGAGGTTGGAGAAGTGTGGAGCATGTGTGTCAATTCTGCAATCTTCAGGTCTTTCTTCTTCACGTCCATGTGAATTTCCAGGATCATGGAAAGCTGGTCGTTCAAAAAACGATGCCACTGCTTGACCTGAAGATCTGTTGCGCTCTCACTTCCATTCTTCAAAGTCAACTCCAGAAAGAGTCGTCGGCGCACCGTCGGTATGACGTGTTCCACGACATGACCGCGCATGGAAGGTGTCACCTTCTCTGTACAGAGCATCTTCATGAGTTCATTCCATTTCTTTTGACCCTTCTCTTCAAGGACCTCCTCGTAGAGTCTCTTCCATCGAGCTTGTTCTCCGGTGGAGCATTCAATGATGCCCTCATTTTCTTCTGAGGTCTCCTCATTCTCAGTCATGTCGTCATTCTCATTCGCGCCATGGCTCAAACCTACGGATGGTTCGTCCAAATTCTCAATCACCTGCTTATTCTCACAAATCTTGACATATGCGAAAATCGCAAAGGTCTTGACCTTCTGGGTGATCATGACAAAGACATCTTTCAAAACCCAAATTGAACTGAACGCACCAATCATCGCAAAAAGGATGATGACAGCAAAGGTGTTCAAAAACTGGGTCTCACCTTCATTCTCCATATCGTTTGCGGCTTCTGCTAACTCCATGTTCTCTGCGGCCAAAATGGACATGGCACACACCGCAGCCTTCTGCCACTCGTCTCCACTTCGTCCCAAGCGAAACTGGTGCAGGTAAAAGTGTCTTCTCGAGCAGAAAGCGTGTCGGGCACTTGTCTTGTCGACTTCCTTCTTGCATCCTGGCAAACGACACAATCCTGCTGCTTCCTTCTCTTTGGCATCTTCTGTGAAAAAGACTTGTCCATCAAAAAGGTTCTCAGCTGCTTTCTCTAGCTCTTTCTCCTCTTGCCAGCGAGCTTCATGAGTCACCTTCTTCGCAGCCACGAAGCCTGGGTCGAATTTGAGGGAGTGCACACCACGAGAAAGGACATGGGCTAAATGGTCCTTAGCCGCACTTTTGGTCAAGCCGTCGGCCAACTGCTGCAGGGAATTGCACCATTTGACTTTCGACAAAGAAGCTTCAAGTCTCTCCCTCAAAATGCAAATCTCTATGGCAGTTCGACGTTCTGAAAGCTTCAAACCTGAAGTGACTGCTGTTGTGCTGTCAAAAAGGGCTTTGGCGTCAGTGATCACTGCGGAACCCCCAAACTTGTGCATGGTTGCATCATCTTGGATAGGAACATAGGGGTTCACCACAGCAGCAAAAAACACTTTTGACCACTCCAACTCATCCACGGCAATCGTTGCAGATTGCGCTTCGGCAGACAATGAGCTTCTGCACATGCGAACCAACTTTTTGCTCGACCAATCCAGAATGGTCAAAGGGAAAGGCTCGCATGACTCTAGCTCTGCTTGGCTTGAAAGGAACATCAACATGCCACCTTGCGAGCTCCCAGCCGGCCTCACAGACCAAGCAGCGTCGCAATACAAGCTAATCCTCAACTGCTCCAAGGGACAATGCTTGCGCAAGGTGAAGACATAGTTCTTGACGACTTCCTTCAAGAACCTCAAGCACTTATTGGCTTCCAGCATATCTTTCACCATGGGCTTGTTGATGTTGGCCTGAAGAAGACTGATGGTAGCCGATGCTTGTGGCAAGCATTGAGTCACCGGCCAAGACATAGCTCCAACCAATGCTCGAAGCTGCCTGTGTTCTTTTTCCGTGCAGTAGTCTTCAACCATGACTTTTCTTGTTTTCTCCAAACTCAAAGGCTTGATCTTGTTCACATACTGCTGGAGAGAAATCGTCACAGTCTCATGGTCTGCTGTTTGTTTCACCTCGGCACCACAGAAGCGCATCTTGTCTCCAAAGTCCCAACTTCCAAACCGGAACCGTGTGGACAAATGATGCATGCGATGCTGAAAACAAGCACACTCACCTGCAGGGTCATTCTGAATGTCTTGGAGGGCATTGACGTGTTCGCCTGCGCCAATGAAATCATCAACATGCAATCCAACCACTCCGTCAACAATCCACCAGTCGTTGCTCATCTCAAAGGTCAGGAAGGGCTCATCTTCCTGGGTGGCCTTTCTCAAGGACATGTACAGGCAACGATCAAGAGGATGACTCACAAGCTTCAGATTGTTGACCAGGTAGGAGTCGGCTGTATCGAACCATTGTCGTGGAGCTCGAACGTCTCCGAAAGCTGGCTTTGTGGCCTTCAGGATCTGATGTTGTTGAAGTCCCATCAAACGCTCAAGTCTTCTCCTCATATCGGAGGTCGGCTTCACGAAGATCCTTGTGGATTCGTCAATGGAATCTGCTTGCATGAAGGCTGACTTGATGTCTGCACACCAGACTTTCCAACCACGATGCACTGCCCAAACCAGAATTGTCATACGACCCAATCTGCTGAGTGTTGGTGACTCACGAACAAGGTTTTCACTGAGGACGTCAACGTGCCTGAAGCCTTGCAGGATGACTCTCGCGTTGGCCACCTGACCATCTGCTGTGGGCTTCCAACGCTGCAGAAATCGGGCAGGAACTACCTCCCCATCACCAGCTTCAGATTCGTCGACAGCTTTCCAAGCCTTGTTCTCAATCCACACCATCAAAGCAGCATCCTTTGCCTTGTCGAATGCTTTCTTGTCTTCAGGACTCAGCTTTCGCTCATCGAAGGTTTCTGCAACCAAGGCTTCATCTGGAGTCAAGGGGTCGGTTGCGTCCATGAACCTCTGAAAGGCTGGGTCATCTTCACGAACTGGAGGGAGACCATCCAACTGCCTTGACATGTTGTAGGACTGAAAGACAGCGTTTCTCTCATCACGTGGAAGTGGACTTCTTGAACGAGCGCTCTCTGAAGGTTCATCAGCACCCGATCTTTCGTCTCCAGCTGTCGTCTTGGCCACTTGTGAAGGTCTTTCTTCATCCGCATTCACAGGATGCTCTCTCTTCCTCACAGTTGTCATCTCCGTGTCCTCAGGATCAGGATTGGTTTGTGCTGTTGCTTCTGCAGCCGCGTGTGGTTCTGTTTCGACCTGCTGGGGCTGTGGTTCATGTGGCTGCAGCTGTTGTGTTTCTGCGGTGGCTGTTCCTGAATCCTGGATGGCTTCTTCAACCTGATCTTGGTTTTCATCTTTGTTGCCTTCTGGCTCCTGGGAATCGTTCAGGGGATCATCTGGCTTCTCAGGCTCGTCTTTTGCGTCAGAAAAAGGTGGGTCCCCCAAGAGGTCAAGAAAGCGAACTGGACCTCGGACAGGGTGCAAGGCAGCACGAACGGTGTCCTGCACATCTCGAACACGAGCTGTCTGAGGGAGATATTGCAAGCGAGCCTGACGTTCACGTGGTGCTTCAGGTCTCAAAGAAGTATGGCTGACTCGAAGCAAAGAAGTTCCGTGAGCCAACCAGTAGACGTCAGGTCTTGGTCCAGCGTCATCAGCCTCACGGGGTTGTGAACTGCAAACCAATGCTGGGCCACGCCATCTACTGACCTCAAGCTTTGAATCACCTTCACGCCAGTAGTACACCCATTCTCCAGGAAAATACTGAGGAACAACGGCTCGACTCTGGCTCAAAAGTGCTTTCCTCAAAGTGTGACTGTAATTGGCCTCATAGAAGGATTTTGCTGCAGCGACTCGTAGCTCTCGGACTTCTTGGTGTCGCTTGGATGGATCTGCAGCATTGATGACCGGTTCATCCATCAAACCTGCTTCTTGAGCATTTGTGCCAAAGACAATCTGTGATGGGGACGAACCGTGGATTGACCGAAGCTGGTTCCTCATGGAACATGCTATAGGGGCTGCCACATCCAAACTCAATGTGGGTTTCTCCATCTTCATCTTCAGGAGTTGCATACGTCTCACGGCATGCAAGCGTTCCACAATCCCCATCTTGTAGTGAGCGTCTTTAGGCACCAGGATCAACTTGATGTTCCTGTCATCCATGTAGCTAAGGAAGGCCTCACTCATGTGACCTCCTGAAGCATCCGTCTTGATCTTCTGAGGGCAGCCAAAGACATTGATCCAGGAATCCAGCACGCTTAGTTCAGCCTTTTCCGTCTCTGCCTCTACAGCTGCGTTCATCTCATAGCGGGAGAAGACATCAATGATGGCAAGGACTTTGAGTTTCTTGTCGTCCCACTTGATATGGAAAACATCCATTTCGAGCAGCTCGTTGAACTTTTGTGCTTGAGGCAGTGAGGAAGGCTTAGCTGGCTTCTTGTTGATGAAATTCTGGCAAATGTCACATGTGTATCCTTTGGCGGCCTCAATGATCTCTTCATTCATGCCGGACTCTCTCAATGCCACCAACAAACGATCTCGTCCGGGATGACCGAGTTGTCGATGCAGCTTTGCCACAATTGAAAGGGCGGCACTCTTTTGAGTCTTAGATCTTTTCATCTCCTCATCCGTTACCTTCTTGGTCTTCTTCTCTTCCACAGTCTCTTCAGCAACCAGGATCTTGGCTATCTCTTTCTTCATCCAATTGTCGTCCATCACGTTGTAAATGGCTTTTCCTGCAATCTGCGTGAACTTGGCCTCATAGTTCTGCATGTCATGGAGTGCTCTGCTTTTGCCATCCATTTGTACGTGAGGCTTGGTGCAAGTGCAGGGAAGATTCAAGGCTTCTGCTACTTCTCTTGAGCTGGTGCGAACCCGTGTCTGTTTGCGTACAGGTCCCTCTTGATGCTCATCTTTGTAGTAAAGACCAGTTCGACACCTGTTGCAGATGCCTTCGAAGTAGCCACGCATGTTCTGCAAAGTTTTTGTATCCCAAGACTCAGCACCATGAGGATGTTCCATAGCGTAGTCGCTGTCTATCTCCTTGCAAACAGTTGCAACATCCTCAACCAATGACAAATGGGAATGTTCTTCTTCATTTCTTCGTTCTTCGAGTTCTTTTCTCTGCTTCAAAGTTCTCCTGTTGAGCCTTTGCATTGATGACCACTTCTTGCATGGCGGTGCGATCCAGACAAAATCTGGGGAAACTTCTCTCAACAGGGACACAAACTCTTCTCGCACAGCCTTCTGGCTAAAGTCCCACTCTGGCAGAGAAAACGTAGATGACTCAACATCAGGATTCTTCTTGGCAAGATGAACTGCCAAGTTCCCTTTGTCCACGTAGACCTCGAAGAACTTGAGCTTCTTTTCAGAGCGTAGTCTTTCAGCAATCCGCTCTGCCAAGTCATCTGCAATCATGATCTCTTCAGTCACTTTCATCTTGTCTTTGTCAACGACGTCCACCTCCATCGATGGTTCAATGTCCCAAGCATCAAAAGGTCCTTCTTCTAGGAGCTTTGCATCATCGTCAACTCCCAACTGCTCACCTTCATCCATCTGGTAGTAAATCTCCTCAACGTGGTAGTTGTCCTCGTACATCATGAGGTCCAGGATGAAGTGTCCACGCTCATTTCTTTCGGGAGTGATCCAATCTGAATCTCCAATCTTCATTCGGTTCTCCTTGTAGTCATGCACCACTCCCCATTGCTCCAACGTGGGACGAGCAAGTAGAAATGGCGTGCTTCCGGGGACAACCGATGCTGTCACAGGCAATGCTTGACCATGGACAATGGCAGTGAACTCTACCTCATAGTCTGAACGAAGTGTCTCTCCTCCTCCAAACTTGAAGTGCCTCACCTTGTTCCGCGAAATCACTGGCTTTGTCTGGTCATTGCCATATGCTTCCAACCATCGATGCCAATTCTCTTCACCAACAATGGTACGTGTCGCACCACTGTCCACAATTGCTTTGCCTCGTTCGGCCACTGCGAAGAAGCACTGCTCATCGGTCACTTGTTCGTAGGTCGCAACCTCTGTTGTTTCTGTCAAATTTGTTTCTTCCACCATGGTGATCTCCTCGGGCACTTCCTTCACTCCAGCGGCTTGGCTTCTATACCGCTTGAATCTGGGTCCATGTTGCGACGTGGAACCAGTCAATGTTGACTTGTCGCCAATGCTGGTGGTTGTAGATGGGCTCGAAGGAGGTCGCCTCAGTCCTGACATAGGGCGTCGATGAAAAGGAGTTCTCCTCATGAAACCACCTCCTTTCCCTTTTCCTTTGCTCTTGCCCTTTCCGCCAGACTTCCCTTTTCCTTTTCCTCCTTTTCCTTCACCTTTGGGAGGTCGTCCGCCAGCACGATCATAGTCTGGCCCAAGAGCAACCACCGGATAGAAACCTCTGGATAAGGCCAATTCTTTCATCCGTTTTCTGCTTTCAATGTAGGAGACGTAGGCCTCATCGGTTAACTCCATAGCTTCTTCAAGCTCTTCTGGAATAGGCTCTTCATCTTCTTCATACTCATCTGCTTCGAAGGCCTCATCGTCATACCAATCTCCATCATTGGCAAAACCATCAACATCATCATACCATTCATCTTCTTCCTCCACATAGACCTCCTCCTTCGAAGACGTAGTGGGTCGAGCACCCAGGTCACGAGCATTCGGCACATGGTCACCACCGAACATGCGAATCAAGGCTCTGCCAACCTTCTCATACTCAAGATCACCGGAACACATGGCCTTGATCTGGACGTGAGTCCATCTCGGAATTCCAGCTCTGGTGAGAAGGTGCCAACCAGAAAGCAAAGGTGGAACCTCGACATTCACTTCTCGCATGCGCTTCAAAAGTGTCCTGTGTCGAATCAGGTAGGCCTGCAATTCTTCTCCTTTCTTGCGACTGAAGTCGGAGAAGAATTCGTCACAGCGAGAGGGAACCTCAATGAGATCCTCGTACTGGTAGAGCTCGTCAAGCAAACGAAAAACCAATTTGAAAGGATCTGTTGCCGTCTCAACTTCATCAAAACTCAACTGCTCTGTGGCATCCCAGGCAACATCACGAAGGCGACTTATGACAAGGAATGCGCCTTCCACCGCTGTGTCTCGTCCTCGACGATCGCACTGCTTCTTGAACAGCTCTAAGCGTCTTCGAAAACTCCGATAGGTCTTCTGGGTCAAATTCTCTGAGGATGGGCATGCCTTTGCTAATCCTGAATCAAGTCCTCGGCCATGCTGAGGAGTGAAGGGCAACTGAATGGCGGGCTCATCTCTTTCGACATTGGCGAAAAGAACACCAGGTCCTCTTCCACCACCATCTGAAGGTCCAGGCACCGTTGTCCTGGCACGACGAACAGGAGTTCGCCTCGGACTCCTCTCCATACCCGACATGGGTCAAAGGCAAGGAACTTACCCTCAACTTTCACGGGGATCTAAAAGATCTCGGCAAACAAAAAGGTCACCGTAGGAGCCGACTATCTGGAGCGTCGCCTGCTCCGCTACCAATCTAAACTCGACAGTGATCAGCAAACGAAGTCTGACACCTGGATTTTCCGCAAACCTGAAAGGTCGTAGCGCAACTACCGGTACTCAAGGGCCCTCGTGAGATGAATGGCCATCGAAAATGCAAACATCAAGCACGTTTCATGCGAAAGTGTAAGCTGAAGTCAGAGCACTATAATCAGTAAAGGTATATGGAGCTCCGAAGCCCAAAAAACATACGAGTACCTGCACAAATAGCTGACCTCACTGTCTCCCCTGTCAACCTTCACTGATCTTCAATGTCGATTTCTAAAGATGCTAAGAGTCGTAAAACACAACGCCGCTGACGTATGCCACTTCGACACGTGCCATTGAGCGCAGACTCCATCCAGAGATTTGGGCCTTAGTTGATGTGATTGTCCTGTTGGTCGCTGTTCGATGTGGAACGTCTCCGACGATGTCCAGGATGTCAAGAATAAGGAGCTGCATAATAAACCGAACTCTTAAAGAAGACTTCCGAAACTTATGCGTCGCGTTTCCCAAGCATTCTGAGCAAGTTCCTAAAAGTAAAGCGCAAACGCGGCTGGAGGGGCACTGCTTCGATCAGCCGCACAGATCACACTTCGCACGGGACTTTCTACATGTCGTGGCTGAATTGCCGTTGTTCTTGAGCAGTGAGGCTTGCGACCGTCCGGATGCATGAAATCAAGAGTTTGGCTGAGATCCTTATCAAAACTAGGGGCGCCGAGCATGGACCATTACAATTGCGCGCGCCCAGTAGGAGCCTGGAATGCCGCTTGGCATCGATTTCCCCCAAGATCCCAAAAGTCCCCAAGGCTGCGAACACTTGTAGGGCAACCTGTGCCGAGTGACGCGGAAAAGGCCCTGGCTTCAAACGTGCTGTTGAAAGGTCTGGGATCTGCAAGTCAGCGCTATCATCTGTCCTGCTGCTCAACAATACAAAAAATGGTCCGTGTCCAATGCCCAAAGTGTTAGAAGAAACATGAAGCAAATGCGTAGACTTCAAGACTCCAGACGTCGAATTCGCATCGGGCAGTCAACTCTCTGCCGGAGGCAGGAGGACTGCTCCCTATTCCACACTGCAAATAGAGAGTAGGCTCACAGCGAGCCTTCTAGACTGTACACGATACATGACCTTCAAAGGTACAATTCCACGCGCTGTCCCACAGGCCACAGGGTTTCAACACTGCTTCCTGTGAGCACACGCTTGTCGAATGGCCGACAACACAGAGGCGATGGCAGTCCCCACGTCAGCATCCGTGGTCATTCTTGTGAGGCCAAAGCGAAGCACTGCATTGCACACAGTGTCCACTCCAATGGCTTCCAGCACATGGGATCCATGAAATGTTCCATTACCTTATCATGATTGAATCGGTTATCGTAATTCACAAACGAATACGATCGTCCTTCACAAGCTGTTTAGTGGCTTCCCGTTGACTGGCCACAGACTGCTGCCGAGCCACAAGCGGAGGAATTTGAACAGGAGACTTGTGGCAGAACTCGCTGAAGCAAATCGCCGCCGTCGAGGTCAAGAATGCAAACCGAGACATTGGACCAAATGCGTTTCTCATGCGAACCGTTTAAACATATTGTTGGATGGCCTTGTTGGATACCATGGAAGAGTTTCTGCCCCAACTCCTGGCAGCGCTTCTGTGCGCTGTGTAATTGTAGGTGTTCCCGAGCAAGCTGAGCAGCCTGGCCGAAACCCACTGCCAGAGGTACAGGCACAGTGCCACTCCTTAGGCCACGTTCCTGGCCACCACCAACCTTGAATGGATATTCTTTGATTAAACCCTCCATCTCCATGGACACGGCCAAAGCCCCAATGCCCTTCGGCCCATGAAGTTTGTGGGCTGAGACGGACAGCGCATCAACACACAACTGCTTCACATCGATGGAAACCTTTCCAACTGCTTGGGCCGCATCCACATGGAAGAAGATGCCCCTGTCTTTGCATATCTTGCCAATCTTCTCCACAGGCTGTTTCGTGCCTATCTCGTTGTTGACAAACATGATGGAAGCAAACACTGTCTCGGGCCGAATCGCCTCCTGGAAGGTGCTCGTGCTGATGATTCCATCCAAACCAACAGGCAGGTAGGTGACGTCCCAACCCTCAATCTGTTCCACTCTGCGGCAAGCTTCCAGAACACACTTGTGTTCGAGCCTCTGTGGCCCCGGATACAAAGATGACCTGGGATGGATCTGCTCCCACTAGCAGCGCCACCTCAGTACTGTTTTGTTACACGTCGGTTAGGACACCAAAAGTGTCAACTCCAAAACCCAATCAGGATATCGCCAACATGCGCCTGCGATATCCTGCAATCCGTGCTCCTTCTAACTTCTAAGTGAACAAAGGAGCAGCTTCCACGCTTTAGGAGATCCCCTCTACATTTGCTAATACTGAAAAGCTGTAGCCTGAAAGCAAAAAGACGTGACAGGCCCATAAGCCTTCTTTGAGCTGTACATCCCTAGGAAAACCGATCGACCTAGTCTTATTCTAATATATATATATACTGTATTATACTGTATATGTCAAAGGGATATATATAGTTTAATTAATAGCAGGGACAGGGGCAAGAAATTCACAACGTCTCAGCAACAGCCCGTCTCAAGGACTAAGGCCACAGCCTTCTGCCTGGCGTCGCGAAGGGCCACCTCCGCGGCGCTGCCGTGTGTGTGCGCGGAGCTCGCGTTCCCAAAATGATGCTCGTCATAGGCCACCTGGACGAGGAGCGCTAGCTGTTGTGCTATGAGTCCTTCTGACCACTGCAGTTACTATAGTTGGTGAAACAAGTCCACGCACGCGAGGGTACTTTAGAAACAAGTTCGTAATAGCATGGTGGATGCCCAGCTCCCAAATTGTTGCCTGCGCGCAGTCACGCTCCGTTCAGAATTTTTCAACAATATAGGAAAGAGGTGAACTTGAACTTACTTCAAATTTATATTTCCACGAGACTGATTTCCAAACATTCTGATTGCTGATCTGATTAAGTTAGACCAAAGCCACCATACTTTGCAGCACTCGCGGATCAATTGGAGTTGTTGCATTGCCATCGCGATAAACCGGCGCATCTGTCACCTTCGGATCCTGACACACATACCAGCCAGGTGGTTCCAGAGTTCTCCGTCTCTCTCTCTCTCTCTCTCTCTGTCTCTCTCCCTCTCTCTCTCTCTCTCTCCCTAGACCTGTCACTGGGTTTCGGCGGAGTCTGCTACATATCAAAATCTACACATGTACACTGTAAGTTTCTGTAAATTGTAAATGTGTAGGTCTCCCGCCTTGAAGATCTTGAAGGCAGGCGTCTCTGCATTGCACAGGGCCGGTGATCGATCAGTAATGGCAGCTTGCGAACAAAAAGGTCGACAAGTCCTCTTGCCGTCCAACAGCACACTAGCCGTGCGCTCAACAAACTGCCCAGCCCATCTGAGCTTGTTGGCCGTCTCAATATGGTTGTTCAGCTTGGGAAACGCTCGCCAGTCAAACTCTGGCACGGGCCAGCCTCTGGCATCGTTTAAAGCCCTGCGGACAAATTGGGATGGCAAAAGCCTCACCTTTGCTGGATCAGTCCACACCAGCAGCTTTCCTGGCTGAAAGGAAAGTGCATTGTAGGCACAGCTTGGCAGGGATGCCAAGTCCTCCCACGACTGCAAGATCATATCAGCAGCACCAGCACGAGTGTAAAAGTACTTGAGAACCTGACCTTCAACGCGGTCTGCATCTTGCAAAGCGAGAGGAAAGATGTGCAGGTGGGCATGGTTTACCTGAGCGCAAACAAGGCTCTGCAAGGTCTTGGAGGGGATTGAACAACAACCTGAATCTGTCGCATCAATTCAACACCAAGAGACACAGGAGCACCCCTTGTCATCATCTGCAGCCCCACCATGTTCAGCCAGCAGCGCTCGTCCACCGAAGGTTTGTTGGGTAAGAAGCCTGCAAGCCTCAATCCATTCATTGTCCTCCTTGCGGGATGTCCTTGAGCGGTAGTAGTCGGCAAAGGAATGCTTGTGAGCTCTTGTCAGCACCAGTCCATATCCAAGGTCCCCTCCAAGCGCTGGAATCCAGCAAAGTTCTTCATTTATGACCAAGGGCGTCTGTACGCGATGGAATGCACAGTGATTCCTTTCACAAAGGTCAGTGGTCAACAATGATCCCAAGAGATCGCGCTCCCAGTCAGAGATCTTTAAGGGTTGCGCCATTGTTCCACCTTCCTGCGAACCCTTGTTCAAAGAACTGAAAGGATCTGAATTGACTCTTTGGCTCTTGGCAGTCCTCTCATCACCTGAATGTTGTGACACAGCATGGCGCTCCCGTGTCGTCGTCTCCATCCCTGCTACTGCTACGCACCTTCTATATGTGTATAGTGTAAGTACACTCACAGGTGCGCAAAGAGCTGCAGGCATGCACAGTGTTCCAGAATTGTCACACAAATGCTTGCAGTTCAGTTCTACAAGACAACTGGTTTCTCTCCTATAAGCTTCAAGGAGCACAACTGTCTCGCAGCAAAAGATGTTCACAGACACTGCGCTGACCCGACAGGTGCATGTTTGGCCTAAATTGCAACTCACGCACCAGCCTCAATTGCATCGATTCTTGAGACTACACCGACCCGTATCGAATCAAAGCAGTGAACGACAGTGAACAATATGACTGTAAAGGTCACCAGGGGTCCCCTGGCCGGCGCACGCCATTCGCTTGTCATGCTCCCCTCACGTGCGCCAACTAGGACACAGTTGACACACTGGATGAATTAATGCTCAGCTTGGCAATGTGAGCACGGCCGATTGGAACTTGTAACGGCCATTCTGAAGGTCCAGGCTCGCAAAGCTCACAATACGAAAGAACCTTGGCTGACGACAGCCTACACTCAGCCGAGGTGCAAAAGTCTTTTGAAATTAGCTTCTAGAAAATCGAAAAACGTGGACAACCATGGAACTCAGAGAGGATCTTCTTCAAGCCATCGTCCGTGTACAAGGCGAAGAATCGGCTCTGTCCAGAAGGATCATCCATCATGGGACCCTCAAAGTCACGGCCACCATACACACCACAGTAGAATACACCATCTTGCATCAGAACGCGACGGATCTCAGTCAGGACACTGGGAAGCTGCTTCTTGGGCACATGTAGCAGACTGTTCATGCAATACACGGCGTTCATGCTTGAATCTTCGAAGTTCAGGCTCTGCGTGAAGTCATACACGTGAGCCGTAAGACCTTTGCCCTGACACAGTTTCACCATCTCAGGCGAGAAATCCAGGCAAATCACTTCAATAGACTGTTGCGACCAGAAGTGCGCATCCCTCCCAGTGCCTGAGCCCAGTTCCAAAAGTCGATATGAACTGCCCTGTGCCAAACGTCGCCGCCTCAAAACTTCAGCAAACTCTTCTCTAGCTTGTAGCTTCCAGTCCTCTGCCTCGCGAAGATTTCGCTTCAACGCATCTTCATCGTAAAATTGTTGAAGGTGAGAGCGGGTCTGGTGGTCCATGCTAGGCCAGTCACGCGTCTAAGATCACCCAATCTTGAGCCTGAATCTTACGTTGGTTGCCAATGTGAGGCTCTACGCACAATTCAAGGTTCTTGCAGCCAAAGCCTGAATTCATCTGCACGCGAGCGAGCCCTGGATTCATCTGTGGACCGACCTTTTCCCCCAGCAACTCTGCCTTACT